GCAGTGAGTAACTCACCTCCTGACTCCCCGCAGCCTGTCCACCATTACAAAACACAAGTCAGGAGTGTGATGGAATACTCTCTTCTTGCCTGGATGGGTGCAGCTCCAACAACACTCAAGAAGCTTGACATCATTCAAGACAAAGCAGCCTGCTTGATTGACACAATATCCATAAGCATCTAATCCCTCCACCACTGACACACAATAGCAGCAATTTGTACTATCTACAAGATGCACTGTAGCAATTCACCAAAAATCCTTAGATAGCTCCTTCCAAACCCACGACCACTTCCATCCAGAAGGGTAAGGGCACCAGATACATGGGAATACCACCATATTCAAGTTTCCCTCCAAGCCACTCTCCATCTTGACTTGAAAATATACCTCCATTCCTTCACTGTCACTGTGTCAAAATGCTGGAATTCCTCCCCTAAGGACATTGTGGGTCAACCTACAGCAGGTGGACTGCAGCAGTTCATGAAGGCAGCTCATCACCACCTTCTCAAGGGCAGCTGTGGACAGGCAATAAATGCTGGCCCGTCAACGATAACCACCTCCCATGAGTGAATAAATAAATGAATAAATAAAAACAAGTAGAAAAGGAATTGAGAGGCAAAGACAGAATATGGTGAAACTTAAAACAGATAACTTAAAAGGTGAATCCAAAAGTCTTTTGTCACCTACAATGAGCCAAAAAATAGTTAGAGGAGAGTTAGAGCTGATTAAGGACCAAGAAGGGGATCTACAAAAGATGGAGGGCATGGCTGATATTAGCACCTGTCTTCAACAAAGCAGAAGGTGCTGTCAAAGTAATGATGAAAGAGGAGTTGGTTTAGACACAATATGGGTAATAATTGATAAGGAGGACGTTCTTGAAAATCTGGTAGTAAAAGTTGACAAATTACCAGTGCCACATGTGGAGAATCTGAGGCAAGTATAGAAGCAAATTCTGCAGATACTGGCCATAGTTTTCCAATTCTATTTTGATAGAGGGATTGTATGAGATGACTGGAAAATTGCAAGTGCATATTGTGTAATAAAAGTTCATAAGTTGAGCGGGGCACCGACAGGGTGTAAGTTCAACCTTGGTGATGGAAAAATGGCTAGAAATGACAAACTGACAGCTGCTTAGTCAAGTGTTGATTAATAAAAGAAAACCAAATGGTAAAGAAGAATCAAGTTAATTTAATTTGCATGAGTTTTAATTTGCTTTTCTTCTGCAGAAGTAAATTGAATTTCACATTCTGGAACGTATGACAGATCAGGGACCTCACTAAGTGTGTCAGACTTATTTCCCACTATTTACACTTGTTTTCTGTTGTAGTTAACAGAATGTCAGTTTCTGTAAGTGGCTTATGTGTGTATGTTCCCCTTACTAAATTTTTTTTGTTGCTGTGTTTGTGTTGACTTTGATATTCAGAGTTTCAGGAAATATGTTTAACTAAAATAATATGGTAATCAAATAGTGAATGACAATGTTGGGAATTGATATATTTGCAGCTTTGGAAACTTGCTGCACTGCAGTGCTACAGAACAAGACATTTTGAAGGCTTGGAGCACACATGGTGATGGGAGTTGAACTTTAGGCTAGGGGATGTGGTGCCACCAAGGGCACTGTTACGTTGTGGATTTTTGTTTGAATGTTATAGCAAGTGTACTTATCTAGGGAAATGAAGAGTATTCCATCATACCCTTGACTATGCCATTGAGGGTTCTTCTGCTGCATATTTCCGAAGTGATGTCAGGGCAAAAACCTTAATACTTAGAGAGGACATTTAAATGATGTGTGTGTGTCTGTGTGTGTGTGTCTGTGTGTGTGTACCATCGTATCTTTATATTTTTTGACAGGGTTAACATGACTCCTGAAAAAGGTACATTGTACACACAAATTCATTGTGCCTACATAGAACAGGGTCACATGTATTAATACAGGTGGTTTCTAGCTTCCACAGATGATCACACCGCAAGGCTGAAATGCTTTCTGGTGTAATACTTCGCACAGGCAAAATTGTTTAGTAAATGTTTACCAATAGCAGAATCACATTTAACGTTGGACATGGTATTCTGTGGCTTGAAAGCTGGTTGAACGCAAATGGCATACTGCCCACTGTGAACAGTCAAAAGGATGTTTTGCCTAACGTGATCCATTTGTTTTGGGACATATAGTTTACGTACTGATCATTGTACCGGCACTTGAACCTATGTGTCACATTACTCATTGTGTGGCGAGCAAAATGTTGAATTCTTTAGGAAGAGAGCAGGCGTGTTGGTGTGGATAATATGAATTGAAGTGGTCTGCATGGATTTTAGCAAGGCTTTTGATAGAGTCCCCTATGGTAGACTGATCAAGAAAGTATGAACCGATGGTATCCAAAGTAAGGTAACACATTGGATCCCGAATTAGATAAGAGGCAGGAAGAAGAAGGTGATGTTTCTGTCACTTGAAATCCGTTTTCAGTGGCTTATTGTGATTTGGATTCAATATTGCGGGTGTGATTGGGAAGTTTGCGACTGACACCAAAATTAGTAGGGTGGTAAAAAGTGAGGAGGATAGCTGTAACCTGCTGTTGGATATTGACAGCTTCACCGGTTGTTCAGATTTTTGAGAGACTTTTCCACTCCAGTGTAATCTATTATAGACTGGGCACCATTCAGGGCTGAAGAAGTGGTCATAGACTCTTTCCAGAGTTTGTGCAATATACAATGATTGATGTTTTGATCAGAGTAGCCATTATTACACAGGGTAGTTTTGCTATGCCCTATCATGGCATCAAGCTTTCGTAATGAGCAGATATCCAGGGCCCTACACACAAGTTTGTAAATGATGTTGTGCATGGGACAGCAGGAATCCCAATGTCTATATTGCCCAGTGAATGTAAGCTTTTGGATCACAGTTGTAGCGAAGTCATTTGGTAGATTTCTCAACTAATGCATCAAGGAAAAGAATTCATTTCATTGCTCCATTTCAATGGAAAATTTGAGTGCAGGATGGAGATTTATTAAACTATATAAAGAAATTCTTTGCAGCTGTGGATTCAAATATTAGAAGAATCTCATGTACAAATTGGAGGTATGCACTGGGTGTGACATTAGTGGTCACTCCATCTTGCTTTTCATTCTGAAAAAAAAAGTTGATAGCAAGATATGGGTCCACAAGAGACTCCATGGCAACAGCATCTATTTTGACTTGTACGGTGCTGTTGAACTGAACTCAACTGTGCCAGTTGTGAAATTCATGATTCGATTTAAAAACAGATTCAGACACCTTGGCACACCTAGATTGTCATGATATAGTGGCATAGTACAAATATCAATGGCTTCCTGAGATCTTTAATGGTGAACAACTTCACAATGCCAAAAGAGCATATTGACGGTGATATTGCTCTCAATCTAGTCTATTACTTTTATTTCTGGTGTTGTGTTGTGATTCAGTTTCTTTGGGCAAAAATATTATTACTCCAAGCGGGGATCCTAACACTTATAGATATGTGGAATGTATGTATCTCTTTCTATTGAAGTTTTTAGTGACTGTAATACAGAATGGGAGCCTGTATTACATGTGCCAGGTTCCTAATTGTATTTAGTTAAATGAGTTTTGGACTGTTTGTTCACAGCTACAAGTTGCATTTTTGCTTTTGCCAGTCAGTTTGAAAAGCTTTGTAATAACTGAAAGAAATGGAGGATATACAAAAACTTAGAATATGACAAATATTCAGTGAATTACCCTACCAAACAATTTGCAACTAATGAAGTTGTAAGTAGTTGGGGCAAGAGGGTCATGAGTTGCATATTCGTTGTATTCAGTAATTTTATGCAAGGAGATTCCATTTATTTATATTGTGACAGTGTTGATGTAAACAATCTTCCTAGGTATCAAGTCATTATTATTATTATTGTAAATATACATAATTGCTTTTACGTGTAGGTAGGGAACATTCCTTATGCCCATATGATGCAGCCTAATGCAGCTGGTTCTTGTGGTGGACTGAAAGATTTTACTAAACTTAATACATGGAATAATGTAAGATGGTACTGTACAAATATACAAATTAGGAGCTGAAGTAGGACATTTGGCTCCTTGAGCCTGCTCCACCATTCAAGAAGATCATGGCTGATCTATGAAACAACGTCCTTTAGTTCAAGGGTAGTAGGAACTGCAGATGCTGGAGAATCCGAGACAACAAGGTGCAGGGCTGGATGAACACAGCAGGCCAAGCAACATCATAGGAGCTTCCTTTAGTTCAGGACTGACCCACAAGAGGAAACATCATTCCAAGTCCAGTTGTCATAACCATGTGGGATCTTATATATTTCAATCAAGATAGCCAATGGAATAAGCCTAAACTGTCCAACTTTTCTTCATAACACAACCTGTTCATTCCAGGTTTCCCAGTAAGCCTCCTCTGAACCAATGCATGGACATCCTTTCTTAAATAAAACAGATGAAATCAGAGCACAACTTTTGAGTATACTAACACCCATTCTGATGCCCAGATTATTCTATCGCTGTTATTTAACTTTGTAATCACTTGAATGTGGAGGATTTAAACAGTTATTTCAGATCATATTTAATTATACACAATGCTGGTCTTGAAATTATATCACAAAAGAAATTATATCACAAAAGTGTATCGTGCAAACGTTTAACCTGTTTGTGTAAATTTCCCCAGTCCACACTTTTACCTGGACTTATCAGATAATCCTAACATCATTTGATGTTTTTGCTGAAGAGACGATTTGCAGATAAAATACAGAAATTGTTCTTTTTATGTTTGTATCCACCACATAATTTTGTAGAAGTTATTTTCATTTCCAGTTTTATGAAAAATTTATTTTCCAACTAGTAAATTAGTGTGGTTAAAATAAATATTGATGCTGAACTATGCTGCTCCACTGACATACATTGATGTTTATTAAATGCTTTTGTTTGTCTAATGTGCAGGTTTTTGACTTGATGATTTGGTTCTACTAAATTCTTGCATATGTTTATTTGCCTTTAGTGTTCTACAGTGTACTGAAACTGTTCTTCCTGGTGATATTGCTCGAAGCCATCAGTGTTCTGTTTGCAACATCTCCTTCAGCTCTGAGTCAAGGTTTTGTATCGAATGTCACCTATTTTGTAACCCATTTGACCTCTTCTGTTTTCCATAGCAGCTTAGTTTTCAACTTTGCAGTGCGCATGCAAATTAAAACTCAAGAAGGAAAGTAACACTGCCTTGCTTCTTCCCTATGCTGGTCGGGCAAAGCATGATTGATGTCGGACACTGCCGTGGCATGTATTAACCTGGTCTGCATGCAATAGAAGATACTATGTTCTTATTACATTGTGGTTCTTACCAACTGTTTACCACAGTTTTGAACAGCATAAGGAAGCCTGCAAAGGGGATACCAGGTTTGTTTGCAAGGCAGATAGCTGTGGGAAAAGATTCAAGAGCAAAGATGCCTTAAAGAAGCACAAGGAGAATGTGCACACAGGTAAGAACATAATCAAAGGAAAAGATGATGTAAACTCTGAACTGAGGCAATATTGACAGATGGGCAATGTACAAAAATGAGCAGTCCTATTTGTGATTTTCTCTTATCCTTATAAAGAAGTACATTATAATTACTTGATTGTAGGTTTATATGCAATTGCTAAATATGACCAAATACTTGTGACCTAAAATTGTATGTACTGCTGGATGTAGAGGCATATGTCCTCCTTATGGGGTTATTTTTGTTGCATTGAGGGTCCTGGTACACAGTTATTTTCTTGGTTTATATTCTGGAACAATTTTAGGGTAGAGCTAATGTTAAAAGAACTGGAGGTGTTTACAAGCCAATCTCCTGCTGACTTCTCAGCTGAGGGAGGACAGACCGTGTCAGACACATCTTGGACGAAGCACTGAGGGTATAAAGGTGACAAGCTGAACAGTCGGTTTGCAGATTTCAATATCCATCAGTAAGAGTGATACGTTGTGCCACTGTTGGCTAAGTCCTGAAGGACATTGATGCCACCAGTAAGTAGCGAGAGAATGGAAAAATGATGGAAAAATTTACTTGACCTTCGCTATGCTAACCTACCTTGCACATGTGCCAGTTAGTGTGACAACAGATCAGAACCCTGAAGTGTTTGTAGATACTTTTGACTTTTAATTGCAACCTGTATCTTTCTGAGAGAGAGGATGGCTGTATAAACAAAATCTGTGATGTAAAGTCAGTGGTAACACAGTGTACAGCTGGAGGAACACAGCAGGCCAGGCAGCATCAGACGAGCAGGAAAGTTGACGTTTCGGAACGGGACCCTTCTTTAGAAATGGGGAGGGGGAAAGGAGCTCAGAAATAAATAGAGAGAGGAGGGGCGGGGCTGGGCAAGGTAGGCGGGATGGTGATAGATGAGTGCAGGTAGGCAGTGGTGGGGATTGGTCAGTGAGGTGGGAGGGGCGGATAGGTGGGAGACAAGAGGTTGTGTCAGGTCAAGGAGGCGGGGACAAGAGAGAGGGTTGGACATATGATGAGGCTGAGGGTGGGGGTGGGGAGATTTTAAAACTGGTGAATTCCATGTTGAGGCCATCGGGCTGTAGGCTCCTGAGGCAGAAAATGAGGTGTTCCTCCTCCAGTTTGCAGGTGATGTTATTGTGACACTGGAGGAGGCCCAGGATGGACATGTCACCCAGGGAGTGGGAGGGGGAGTTAAAATGGTTGGCGACCGGAAGGTGTTGTTGTTTGTTGTGGGGACCGCTCTTTCTGCGACTCCCTCATCCGCTCCATGCTCCCCACTAGCTCCACCACCCCTGGCACCTTTCCCTGCAACCGCAGGAAGTGCTACACCTGCCCCTACACCTCCCCCCTCACCTCCATTCAAGGCCCAAAACAAACCTTCCACATTAGACAGGGGTTCACCTGCACATCCGTCAATGTGGTCTATTGCATCCGCTGCTCCCGATGTGGCCTCCTCTACATCAATGAGACCAAGCGGAGACTTGGAGACCATTTTGTAGAGCATCTGCACTCTGTCCGCGATAAACGACAACACCTTCTGGTCTCCAACCATTTTAACTCCCCCTCCTACTCCCTGGGTGATATGTGTATCCTGGGCCACCTCCAGTGTCACAATGACACCACCCGCAAACTGGAGGAACAACACCTCATATTCCCAATTATTGGCCGTCTGGTTTGTCAGTCAGGGATGGTTACATGCTAGATTGGCTGCTTTGGGCACCATCAGAACTGCACCAGTAATTGGCAAATTTAATGCATATTAAATTCCTTATTTCCTCCTGTTATGATGTATATGTACCTTCAATAATGCATATCTTAAACCAGTTCCCGTCACTGTTTGTCTCAAGGCCGCATGTGATGTATAATCCCTGTTCCCAGAACAAAGCAGCAGGCTTACAGGCCAGAGATGCCCACATAGCCTCCCAGTTGTTATTATATGTGGATGAAATATTAGCTTCACATGGCAAATCCAAATTATTGCTCATATGAGACAACAAGGTGCAGGGCTGGATGAACACAGCAGGCCAAGCAGCATCATAGGAGCAGAAAGGCTGACGTTTCGGGCCTAGACCCTTCATCAGAAAAGGGCGAGGGGAAGGGGGTTCTGAAATAAATAGGGAGAGAGTGGGGGGCGGATAGAAGATGGATAGGTGGAGAGGAAACAAACAGGTCGAAGAGGCGGGGATGGAGCCAGTAAAGGTGACCTGTCTGTCCTCCCTGGACTGACCTATCCCCTCCCTAATCCCCCTCCTACACTCACCTTTACTGGCTCCATCCCCACCTCTTCGACCTGTTTGTTTCCTCTCCACCTATCCTCTCCTCTAACCATCTTCTATCTGCCTCCCACTCTCTCCCTATTTATTTCAGAACCCCCTTCCCCTCCCCCTTTTCTGATGAAGGGTCTAGGCCCGAAACGTCAGCCTTTCTGCTCCTATGATGCTGCTTGGCCTGCTGTGTTCATCCAGCCCTGCACCTTGTTGTCTCGGATTCTCCAGCATCTGCAGTTCCTACTATCTCTATTGCTCATATGTATTTGTTGGATATTTGCATTAGAAAAACAACATTTTTGTTTGCTTTGTGTAGAGAGAGATGTTTTTGTTGGTAGCAGTTCCAGATTTTTGTTGTGGATTGAGATTTTCGTCAGAGCCAATAATGGCTTTTAACCGTACAGCCACAAACACTTTCTAATTCAATGTTAAAGAGAACTGATCAAATCTTTTCTTTGGTGTAGTTTCGTGGCAGGGGGAGGGGAATGCACTGTCCTTGTCTTCAATGTTTAAAACAGCATCTAGCCCGATAAGTCTGGAGCAAAGCTCATTTGAGGGAACAACAGATGTGCTGTGATAGGTGTCATCACCCTGTGTGTTGAGCCAATGGTAGAGTTTCATATAAAAATAATAGATAATAGCTCCTTTACACTTCTTCATTCTAATCGGTTTCACGGGCAATAGATTGGAAGAACATCACTTTTCGCTTAGTGGTTCCCCAAAGACCAGTTGGATGTCATATATTGGTCAAAACAGAACAGCAGCTAATACCTCAATGGGCCACCTTCCACACGTCATACTCAGGCTTCAGCTCATAATTGTGATTCCTATTAGACTTCAAACTGGATTGTTTTAAATCCGTGAAATGGAACCCTATCTTGAAACAAATCCTGTTGGACATGCAAAGTGTCTTGAGGGATTCTGTGAGATGATGGAAGACATAACTATATAAATCTTGAAAGAATGTTGTGGAATATATCCCAAGTAAGAATTTAAAGACGTCAGTTTGTTTTTCTATGTCCTGTATGGGTTTGAGTACTAAAGGCACTAAAATGCTATCAAATACCAAAAGTAGCATCAAACAGGGCTTCATTAGAAGTCAGAGCTTCCATTTGTTTTGGTATGTTTTGTGAAACTGGATCAGGTCACATTGCTAAACTTGACAGTATCTTTGCACGTATTCAAAGGATACCAGAGCAACAAGCCTGTTCCAAAAGCAGATACTGGCTGGATGGATGGATTACAACGCAAAAACCCGGTCAGAGGTTTCACATGATACCGTAACCCTCAAGAGGGGAAGTTGAATTATTGCTGGTAATCCTTCACCATCTGTCACATTTTTATATGAGATTTCTCCTTAATTTCTGCCTCTTAATGATGTAACCTGATTCAGGACCTAACAGAATACTGAGTCAGTGAACAAAATGATACAAGACATTGAACAGGAAATCAAGTCTCTGGGGAGTATTTTTGGTCTAAAACATTGCATTCAGTTTCGCTGGTTTAAAAAAAATCCCAGCAATGCCAATGCCCCTACAAAAACAAAACCCTTCAACAACCACATGTTCTTCTTCTGAAGACACAGGTTTTAGTCCTGGCGAAGGCTGCATGGAGAGTAAATTCTGGTGGATCTTCTCTGATGGAAGTAATGTGGGTTTCCCTCCAAATGGTTCTCTGATCAGTGGGTGAATCCCCATTGTGAAAATTAAATCTCTGTTCTTTTAGTGCAAATGTGACATGATACTTAAAACTGTCCCATCCAGATCTTCAGCAGCACTCAGAAGAAAACTGCCTCAGTCCTTGAGGACTCGGTACGTCCAAGATCCAGGAAGATCTTGATTTTTTTTTGCTGCTCGACTTCTGCCTTTTACCCTCCTTTCCTGCTTTTAGGAATAATTCCAACCTTATTTTGCAGACAGTGCTTTCTGTAAGTGTGCAAGGACAGGGATATTAAAAAGACCACAAAAGCTACTCCCTTCTACCTACAGCTAGATAAGGACCTAAGGTTTTGCAAGATTAGTGGAGGAAAATTGATGCAGTTGGATTTGGCGGTAGACCTCCCTACCCCATTTCCTTTGCCAGGCTGCCTCCAGATTGCCTAAATACAGGCAAATTTTGCCATGAAAATACATGCTGAAATATTCATTTTCCCTCAGTTAATGATATTGCCCAATGAGAAAAAAAATCCATTTATTCTATCTCATAGAACTTTAAATAGAAGTAGCAGATCAGCTTGAATGTAAATTTCTTTTGAGTTTTCTTCTTGCTGTTTAAAAAAGCGTCAAGTCTGTAATGGAACATAATTGTGTGCATCACAGATTGAGGAATTCATTTGGAGCAGGGAATTAGATTTACCATCCTTTATGCAAGGGCTCTTCTATCATAAAAGGGATTGCAAATAACAAATGTGAGAGTTTAAAATTTGAGTTATAATTGAGAAATTTTGTCAGTATTTCCATTTTGGGAGAAGGAAGGAGGAAAATAAATGTTAAATATTACAGGACGCCATTTTCTTGCTTACTATCTTCCATCTGGTTGGAGCATGCATGAGCTATGAATATAATGGATTTCTGCCTAATCTTGGTAAAGCTCAAAGGATTAGAAAGTTTTGCAGATAGTGAATCTCTAGTAAAAGGAGAAAGCTGCAGTTGCATATATTTTCCTGCAGAGCTAAATATGATTAGGTTCCAACAGCAAGCACAACATAATAAATTACTTTTTCTTCCC